AACTTTTCTGTAGTCGTTGGCTCCAATAGGCTCTGTATGCTGGGCTTACCTTCCATGGGTTCGCTTATTGTATATACCTCAGGACTCCAACCCTTGGTGGCTTCGACAATTTTATCATATTGTTCTTTGTCACAGAATATCAACTTGGGCTTCGATATCGCGAACATGAACTTGATAGTTTCTATTTAAAAAGCTATGCATTGTAAATCAGGCATTAAAATACGTAGAGTAGACCCACCTTCATCAAAAAGTGGACTTATAGCATGAAACGGTGTCGCATTAAATAAACACGCCACGCCCAACGGCATGACGTAGGTGGTATTTGCAGCTGCAATTCCAATGACGCTCGTGTGGTCTAGTCCCCGCTTCTTGAAGAACTGAGCTATGCGAATGGCCCACGTGAGGGCCTGTTCACATGTCACGGTCACTCCATCAGTATCTGATATCTGCAAAAGAGCTGGTATTAAGAATTTGATCCTGTTTTAGGGAGATCCATTCTATGCCCACCTGTATAACATTCTTTGGCCAGTTTTTCATAGTATTGAAGATGATACGACCCGCAGAAGTATCATAGTCATACATGGAGCTCCGAGGAGATCCACTCCACGTTTTGTCTACACAATTCCAATTACTTTGCATTGCTGTTGGCTTGATTATTAAATGGTATTTCTACGCTCTGCACTGCCTCGTAGGCGACTATGCAAAACTTTCAGTTATTAGCTCTCTTTATATTGAAAACTGACTGGAGAAAAAGGTGAAAAGTGTTATCTATTATTTTAATTATCAATTAGACTATATACTATATAAGACAGTGCATTGTCAATAGAATTATTTTTGGTATGAGGGATAAACGGGTAGATGGATATGCAGATGGATAATGAGATGGACAGTCGGACAAACGTGGCTGCATTAGCGCAGTTCAATATCCTGATCGATAGACTATATATATTCTAACGAGTCTGCATCGATTATTTCAGATGACCTTAGGGTATATTTAGAAAAAGGAATTTAAAAAAAAAGTGTATAAATATTGGGAATTGAAGATTCTATTTCGACTAATTATTCATCAATTAAGTCAAAATGCCCTGCCACAATTGAGAATAAGTCGTATACCCTTTACGTATTTTCAGGAGTCAATAAATATTATGAGTGATAAGCCCCATGCGTTCATTTTTTATAGCTACTGAATCCAGACACCTGCTCGTGCTTACCCTTATCTAAGAAAGTGGCACGATTCTTTTTCATTTTCTTTTGTAGTTGTGCAATTATTGAGAATTATTAATAAGAGACATTGAACGCTATATATGTACGTAAAACTATATATATTTACTAGTGACGCATTGTTCAGCTGAGTGGGGAGTTTCGGATTTCATTTCATTTCAGATAAACCATTAGAGCTATCAAGTCTACAAGATATTCGATTTTGGACAAGTTTTTGTTCTCATATGAATGCTTTCACTTTATTCAATTCGATTAGTTCCCAGTATACGCCATACATGAAATACAACTTATTATTATTAATTCTTTATCTTAGTAAACGATGTTTGCAATTGAATTAAGACTGATTATTTTTAATTTATGTTTAGTTTCCTTTAGTTGCTGTCCCACCCAGTGACTTATATAGCTCTCGGGCGGCAATTCGAATAATCTTTCCATTGTTGTTGACGGGCAGCTTATCAGCGAAGCGAACACCGGCATGTAGATGTTTATGTTTGTGTGCGACAAATCGTGTGGCCACATGATTCGAAATGTCCTCTTCCGTGATGTTGGCGCCCGGTACCTTCATCACCAATGCGGCGGCCACATCGCCAAGCACATCATCAGCTATGCCCACGACACAGACATCGCGCACCTGCGGCAGCTCCCGGATCACGTTCTCGATTTCAGTGGGCCAGTAGTGAATTCCTTGGAATTTAAGCATTGCCTTCTTGCGGTCAATCACATTTAATAAATTGTCGTCATTGAAGTAGCCCAAGTCTCCGGTATGGATCCAGCCATTAAAATCCAGTATTTGACTCGTGGCAACAGGATTGCCATAGTAGCCGTTCCAGTGCATTCCTGTGCGCACAAGGATCTCGCCGACCTCATTGTGAGCCAGGTTTTTTCCGTCCTCATCCACGATCCGTATGGTCATGCCGGCCATCGGCTTGCCAGTGGCTGATGCATTCTGCACACCCACATTGAGCGTAATCACTCCAGCTTCGGTCATTGCGTAGGCCGAGGTGATAATCGCATTTTTGCACAACTCTTTTATGCGTTTTAACGTTGCGTCGGAAAGAATACTACCACCGTAGTTCACATTACGCAAGGAGGCCAGGGCGTAGGGCTTGGCTGCCGGGCTAGTGGCAAGGACGGCCAATTGAACAGGAGCCAAGGTTATATAATTTATCTTGTATTTCTGCACTAAGTGCACAATGTTCTCCGGCGAAAAGGGCTTATTCGATATGATGCGAGTGCTTCCGAATACCACGCAGAACATGAAGGCCCACAGACCAGATATCCAGTCCAGGCCAC